CGTGCAAATCCTGTCACGCAGCCGCGCCAGCCTGCTAGAGCAAGGCAGTACCCGCGGTGGGTGAGTTAGCACCGGGGATTCAGCGACTCGGCGCTTGGCTGTCCGTGCCCCCGTGCTCGGCGCTCGGCAGGGCGCTGCAGTGCTCCCACCACAAACACGGTCCGATCGCCTTTCCGCCCCTTGTCAACAGCCATGTACCTCCTCCAGACTCCTTCTCCGGGTTCCGGGCTCCAGGCGGGTTCCAGGCTCCCACTCCAGCGTGGCCTACTAACGAGCTTGCTCCCCCGTGGTCTCGTGTTATCCCGGCCGAACAGCGAGGCCCTCGGCTCGGCCCGCCGCCCTGCCCAAGCTGTCGATGCAGACTATCAGCGACAGCAGCTCGCCCTGCCCGGCCGGCAGTGGTGCCCCCCTCGCCCGCCCCGCGCCGCCACGCCCTACATCTCGAGCACGGGCAGAGCCAGGGCTGCGCGCGAGGCGAGCGGCGGAAAACGCGAAACCCATTAATCCCGATCTAAAGAGACTGCGAGTACGCACGGCGCGGTCGTGAGTGTCGCCAGGGCGACGCCGCACTCGCTCAAAACAGCAGGCCTACTAAATACTGCAGGACGGTCGGAGCGGCCTTAGACTGGCGCGTTAGGGCCCTGAGGGCGAGGCCGCCCCGCCCCTCCCCTTCCCCGGGAGTGTCCGGCACGCTGGCAGGCAGGCCCTGAGGGGGGCCCTGAGGGGGGCCCTGAGGGGAGCCCTGAGGGGAGCCCTGAGCCTGAGGCGGCCTGAGGCGGCCTGAGGCTCGCCGCAGACGTGCGGGGAATTTGTTTGTCCAGCGCGCCCCGCCCCCGGGCCGCCCCCGGGCCACGCAGGCCACGCAGGCCCCCAGCTAGGTACCGAGCCAGCGGGCGGCCCAGAGTCTGGCTGGCCGGCGGCAGCGGCGGCCGGCCTCCAATAGGCTGCACTTGCCATGCAGCCCCAGCGCGGCGGGCGGCAGTCGGGGGCGTCATGGAGCGGGCCGCCAAGCAATTGGGGTTCCGGGACCGGCCGCCCCGCCCCGCCCCGCCCGCCGGGCCAGGCCAACCTGTTCGAGTCGGGAATCGCCGCAATCTGTTTCGGGCGACTGGCCGCGTCGGGCCGCGGCGGACGGCAGGCGGCGGGCGGCACCCTCCCAAAAGCGCCGCCGCCGTTTCGGTGCCTGTGTTTCCGCGGAAGGAACCCTCGGAGAAATCGCACGGTGGAGCTCTTCCGGTCTTCTGGGCGGCACTTTACTTCCCGACCCGGCCCTCTCCGACGCGTTCCGACGCCATCAAAGTAATAACAGAAATAGGGCGCTCCATCAGCCCGAAGCGGCCTGGAGCGGCCTGGAGAGGCCTGCAGGCCTGGAGCGGCCTGGAGCGGCCTGGAGAGGCCTGCAGGCCTGGAGCCCGAGCCGACGGCGGCCTTTGACCCTCGGCCCAGCCTCGCCATTTATCATCCGCCTACACTCGTACACTCAACGGGCTCGCTGAGGGAGGGAGAGAGAGAGGTGGATTCGTTTGAAACACGGCGACACGACGCGCTCCGCAAAAACGGTTACACCGTAATCCTGGCCAACTTTTGGGCCGCGGCGACCTCGGCGCAACAGCCCGGCCTGCCCCACGCCCCGCCCCGCCCCGCCCCGCCCCGCCCCGCCCCGCCCCGCCACTCACGCACGCACGCCGATGCCGTCCCGAGGGAAATTCCAAACGGTAAAGACAAAAAGTGAATAACCATTCGCCATTTTAGCAGCGAAATGCCCAACAGACGAGGAAAAAGAGGGAGGCATGGACAAAGATTTTCCTTTCAATGAAAATATACTAATAATCGGTAACCAAAAAATATATATAAATAAAAGAAAAACGTGGAAAAAAAATCCGTTATGCGGAACACGATTTATGAAGAATATATTTCACGCCTCACGTCTCCCCGCAGCCTGGCCTTCCGCATTCCTCCCCCCTCCAGGGAGAGTTGTTCCCCGAGCGTTTGTGTGTGCGTGTGTGTGTGTGTGTGTGCGTGTGTGTGCACGCGAGTGGGTGTGTGTGAATGTGGAGAGGGAAGGAGGCCAGGGGGCACAAAGGAAAGGCCACGCCGCGCCACGCCCCGCCACGCCCCGCCACGCCCCGCCACGCCGCGGCCCCGGTGTGAGAGGCGCGGAGTTCAACTTGCAGAGTGGGAGCAAAGCAGCCGGCAGGGCGGAAGGGGCAAGGAAGGGGGCAGAGGCAGTGGCAGTGGCTTCAACGCGCGGCAGCGCGGCCGGGTCTCATGAATAAAAACTCAAACAACGCGAATAGCCCGGGCAGGCCGGGCAGGCCGGGCAGGCCGCAGGACCTGAATACACGCGTGCTGACGTACGGCCAAGTCCGAGGACCAGGACCAAGGACCAAGGACCAGGACCAAGGACCCGCAGGCCAGGCCTCGTCCAGAAACCAGCGCGACCCGCTGGACGGAGGCAGGATTTCCTCAGTCTAAAGGGCTTGGAGCCTAGTTGAATGAGGGTGAGTATATGTGTATGTGTGTGTTGATGTGTGTGTGTGTGTGTGTGCCGCGCCATTACCGGCGCGTTGAAGGGCACTCAAACACCGTGCCATATTTACAAGCAGTGATATGCATCCCCCTACCCCTCCCCAGCCCCTGTCCTTGCCTCGCCTTCGGGTCGTTCAGTTCCGCGTTTTCATCACAAATCCCCTGGAAAAGCTTCCTCCGGATTACGTCCGCGCGACTGCCGAGAGAGAGAGCGGGAGAGGAAGAGAAAAGGGGGCTGTGTTTCGCATCCACTGGCATCCCCCGCCCCTCCCCAGCCCCGCACCTGAAACAACTGAGCTCTCTTTCGGCGCCGGCCGCCGCCGTCCTCGTCTACTGCTCACTCGCTCCGCCCCAACCAGCTCCAACGCAACGCTTGCGGGGCGCACGGCCGACCGGGGCGGGGCGGGGCGGGGCAATCCGTGGAGGCCTCAGCCACATCCAATATTGAAAACGGCAAACAGCACACAAAATCCAACTTTTCGCGCACAGACTCACGCGCGCGCATGAACAGACACAACACACACACACACACACGCACACGCACACGCACGCACACACGCACACACACACACACGAACACACACAAAAACACTCGCTTGCTCGCACTCGTCCACACACGAGTGCATCCGCCGCGACAGGCAGCACGCGAGACAAAAGGGAGGCAGGCAGGCAAGCCATCCACGGCGAGCCGCAGGTGAAAGGGGAAACGATTCACTCGCCGCGATACTTATTCGCAGCCATCGCGCCGGAATCGGGGCGGATCGGATCTAGGGGGAGGGGAGGGGGCGGTATCGTAAACACGACGCAGCCACAACGCGCTGCACCGCCTGCACCGCCTGCATCGGGCCCATCGGGCCAGCCACGCGGGACGTAACGATATGGCCTGAATCACTCCGCCCGATTGTCCCGCACAAAGGGGGAGGGGGAAAGGGGAGGGGAAAGGAGGAGGGGAAGGAGGAGGAGGGGAGAGGGGAGGAGGAGGAGGAGGAGGAGGAGGAGGAGGAGGAGGAGGAGGAGGAGGAGGAGGAGGAGGAGGAGAAGAGGAGAGGAGGAAGAGGAGAAGAGAAAGAGAAGAAAGAGAAAGAGAAAGAGAAAGAGAAAGAGAAAGAGAAAGAGAAAGAGAAAGAGAAAGAGAAGGAGAGGGAGAAGGAGAAGGCGAAGGGGAGGATGAAGAGGAGGGAAAAACCAGAAAGAAGAGGGAGAAGGCGTGGCGGCGCCCTGACCTGGGTGACCCTCCTGCCTGGGGCCTGGGGCCTGGGGCCGGCGCGCCTTCCCCGGTTTGCCTGGTCTGCTACGGTCTGCCCCAGACGGCCCGGCCACTAAGCGTGTTGCTGCTAGCTTGCCAATATTACCCACGCGTGGCAGGGCATCGCTGGAGGCGCCACCACACACACACACACACACACACACACACACACACAAACAGGGGCGCGCCACGCCCGCGGCGTAACGCCAGGCTGTTTATGAGGCACGTTCCACCCCCACAGTGCAACTCTTCACAGCGTGGGCCCACGCCACAGTGGGGCGCCACCCGCTCGTTCACAGCGGCGGGGCGGGGCGGGGGGGCGGGGGGGGGGCGGGGCGGGGCGGGGCGGGGCGACGGCAAAGCAGCAGGGAGCGCCTCGGGGTACGCCACGCCGTACCAGCTGTTTCGGTTAAATTGGGGGAAGCTGCGTCTCACTATTGAGGGCGGCACGGCGGTGAAAATTTATTTAGTTTTAAAATTACATGTAGAAGTGTGGCGGCACGAAATCGACGTTAGTGCCGAAACAAATCCCTGCTCGGCCACGAAGCGACGCGGTGGCGGGGAGGAGAGCGACTGGCCGCGATTTCTCCGCGTCATTGGTAATGTATGTGTAATGTATGCTTTCTGCCCGGCGCCGCGGAAAGTGGACAAAAAAGTGGAGGATGAGAACCAGAAAAAGTGGCCCGCCTGGCCTGCACCTCTGCTTGGCTCCGCTTTACGGAGGATTACACCGCCGTGAGGCGAGCAGGCGGACAGGCAGGCAGGCAGCTGACCGTCAGCCTGACCCGCCCCGCCACCATTAATCAGCTGCAGGGCACAGGGCACGGTGGCAGTGGCTCGCAGCGCAGTGCAGTACGTGTTGCTCATGCCTAAGTGATGGCCGGCCGCTCGCCGCGCCGCCGCGCCACGCCAGCGACAACCAGCACGGCCATCACAACTATTACGCCCCTCTGTGCCGGATTTATGCGCCGCTGTGTCACGGCCTGCTTTTTTTATGTTGATGTTTTTCGGGTTCGTTTTTGTTCCGTTGCCACGTATTCATGCGCGCGCCCTCCACGCCGTTGTCGCTGTCGCCAGCCTCTCGGCCTGGACCGCCACGCGCAGCGCACCCTGGGGCCGGCCGCCGCGCTGGGTAGGCCGCACGCCGACACGCGCGCGCTCGCGCGGCCTACCCTCGGGTCGGCAGGCGCTCGGTGCTCAGCTCCGCTGGCTGCGGGCTCCGTACCTTGATCCAGCAGGGGATGTAGTAGCCGCTGCAGGAGAGCAGCGCGGCCGTGAGCGACAGGCACGCCCACAGCACACCCACGCCCGTCAGCGAGGTCGCCATGGCGGTGCCGCGGTGCTGCGCTCAGCGGGTCGACGTCGTGCAGTGGCCCATCTGGAACAGAAAACAATGGGGCCTTTAGAGGCGAGCCGGTACTCTCTCCTTCTCCTGGCCAGCCCGAGGCCCTGCCCGAGGCCCTGCCCGAGACCGCACGCCGCGTCCAGGTCCAGGCGGCGTCACTCGGCAATCTATCAATCTCAAACCGATGATCGCCGCCCGTGCGTCCGCCACCCGCCCGCCCTTTGCGCCCGCCTGTCCGCCCGCCGGGAGAAATACGAGAAATACGAAGCCCCGCACATTTATCACCTCACCAACACGGCGCGCTGCTGGCTGCGTCTCTCTCTCGCTCCCCTATCTCCTTGTCATAGGCTTCGGTTCGTAGACCGCCGCAGAGCGCCGCAGAGCGCCGCAGAGCCACAGCGGCGCCGGCAATGGCCTATTTCCGCCTCCTTTTCATTTCGTCTGCCCGAGCAGTGCGGAGCGGGGCGGAGCGGGACGGAGCGGTGCCGACCTGGCCGCTTCCGCAGACCACCGCCGTCGCGGCCACCTTGTCCATCGCGCCCCCCGCCGCGACTGGACGTCAAGCCGCCCTGGTCACCCTAGACGTCGCCATCGAGGCCCCACAACAGTTTAGCCGGCCACTCTGGCCACCCGCCGCGCCAGACCGCCTGCCTGCCTGCCTGCCTGCCTGCTCTGCCTGCCCTTGCCTGCTGTCTGTTGCCTGCCTGCCTGTGCTCCTGTCGCTGTCTGCCTGCCTGTCTGTCTGTCTGTCTGTCTGCCTGCCTGCCTCTGTCTGTCTGTCTGCCTGCCTGTCTGTCTGTCTGTCTGTCTGTCTGTCCTGTCTGTCTGTCTGTCTGTCTGCCAGCCTGTCTGTCTGTCTGCCAGCCAGCCTGTCTGTCTGTCTGTCTGTCTGTCTGTCTGCCTGTCTGTCTGTCTGTCCGTCTGCCTGCCGTCTGTGCGACAGCCATTGGCTGCAGCGAGCGGTGCAGTGTGCAGTTCCAGGAAGGCCCCCTGCACCGCCATGGCCGCCATGGCCGCCACGGCCACCACGGCGCGCCATCGCCAGAACGAAACTGCTGACCGGCTTCCTGGCCGTTCCTTCCCGTCGGCCTTTCGGCGCGCTGCGGCGATGCGGCGATGCGGCGCTGCGTCCAGAATGGACAGACGGAATGCGCAATGGGCAGCGGGACGCGCCGTGGCCGCGCGGTTAGCGAGCCGGGCGCCGACTTTGATGACGTTCGGTTCCGGCCCGGGTTCAAATGGACTTCATTTTCGCGACGTTTTGTGCGCTTTTCGTGTTTACGGATGGCCATCAGGGCAAGTACAGAGGTACGCGGTCGGTTCTCTCACTCTCCGTGCGGCACCGCGCCGGGGACGACGGGGACCATCGTTGGCGGCTGGCGAGGCTGGCGAGGCTGGCATGGCGGCCAAGCGAAGTGGGGGGGGGCGTTATTTAGAAGACAGGCGCGGCAAGCGGCCGTTCTTATGGCTCCTTGGACTCTTGAGGAGTTTCGTTTCATCCGCTGAGTAGCTTCCGCTGTTGTCCTCGAGCAGCGCTAGTGTGCAGTGTACATGGAGGCGTGGCGGGGCGGGGTGGGGTGGGGCGGCGGGGGCTGTTTGCGAGGAAACTTGGCACGGCTTTGGTTCACTTCCATTCCGAGGCGCGCGGCGGTTGCTTTCCGACTAATATGCTTCTCCGACGTGGCGGCGGTGCGGGCGACGACGGCCGAGGCGACGCGAAGCGACGCGCTGCCGGAGGGGCCGCCCTGGATGCACCTTGCGGGCCCTCCCGAGAAATCAACTTGGCGAGAAAATGCCGATAGTAAACCATTTGGTGAAACTGGAACGCGCGACAACTGGATCAACCTCCAAACCACCAGGATTTTTTTTTAATTTACAAAAGTTTCTAATGGGGGAAAATGCAGAGAAGTGTAGCAAAGCCAATCCTGCCTCGAGTCTCAACATTGGCCGGATTGGACGCTCCGCCGAGTGGAAGGCAATCGGATGATTCGGGCAGATTACTAGTCGCGGCCCAATGGCTGCAGAGCGCTGCAGAGAAGCGACTCCGGCGCGAATCAGCCTGGAATGAGCCTGGAACCTGGAAGGCGGGCAGACAGACGCCCCTCGTTCCAGGCTGTCATCGCGGTGCTCGGGGGCGCGGAGGAGCGCTTATGGAGGGCGGTGAGGGCGGTCATGGCGACGTTCATGGCGACCGTCATGGCCGAGAATAAACAAGAGAGTCCGGGAACGAACCGGTAGCGAGCCACTGTACCCCCGACCCCGACCCGACGCCGCACCAGATGACAAAAATCTAGGTCAGACGAGACGTAAAATTGCCAGACTTTTTTTACTTCCGTACTTTTATTTTTCTCCCTCTCTCTGTCTCTCTCTCTTTCATTGCATTTCCCTTCTTTTCCGTCCTCGTCTTCCGGTCAGGCCATTGGTGCTAACGGTACGACTCGCCGCCAGGCTCATATCGTATTACCGCGGGTCATTCCCCCTCCCCCTCCCCCTCCCCCTCGTCCGCACTCTCTCCGTCTTGGCGGGCAGCGCGCGCGGTCCGCTGGCCCGCAGGTCCGCAGTCCCAGAGGGCGGCGAGAGACTTTGCAGCTCGGGGAACGCATCAGGGCGGCCGCTTGCCCCGCCCCGCCCCGCCCCGCCCCGCCTTGGCCGCCTTGGCCTGTGAGCAGAAGAAATTATCTTAATTGTCATGCAAATCCGGCAAGCGGCGCCTGGCTGCGCGCTGCGCCACTCGGCCGCGGCGACGTGACTGCCGTGGAGGCACTGCCGAGCACCGCCAAGCACTGCCGAGCACGCCGACGACGGGGTCATCGCGATCGGTCATTGTTCAATCTTTCACCGTCGCCTCGCTCACTCCGTCCCCTGCATTCGCTCCGCCGTGGCGCGCTCCATGCATTATGCATCGCCGTTCATCATGCATTCATGCAGCCCTTCATTCCGCGCGGCCTCGTTCTTCCCCGGACAGGTACCTAAACCCCGTACACGACCAATAAACTCAACAGGCTGGACGTGTTGCCTGTCTGTCTGTCTGCCTGTCCGACCGCCACTTTGGTCCAACGCACGGCCTTCAAAGCCGGGCGCCAGCCGCCGCCCCGCCGCGCCCGCACCGCTCGCACGCTCAAATCGCTGACACGTGCGAATATTAGTTCTGCCGGCCCTCTCCACGCGGCCCCGAGCCGCCGCGCCCCACCCAGGCCGTGCAGGCCGCCACCCAGGCCATCCCGGCCGCCATCCAGGCCATCCAGGCCATCCAGGCCGCCATCCAGGCCCCGTCCCTGCACTGCCTGCTCAGCTTTCCGGCGGAAGGGGTGGGGGGGTGGGGGAGGGGTGGGGGACGCGGATCGCCATCATACCACACGACTATCATCACCAATAATTTTATTTCCGTTTCCTCCCCCTTCTCCAATCCGGATATTCTGCGTCACCGCACCCCGCCCGCCCCGCCGGCCCCGCGCCATCACAACAGGCCATCTACCCATCCATCTATCCGTCACCGCTAAACGGGCGGCGCGGGTTCCGGGGGAGCGGCCGCAAACGGCACGGCCGGCGGGCGGCGCTCTGTCTCTCTCGCACTCACGGAGTGCAAGGGAGGCGAGCGACGAAAAACTGCTTGGAATCGGACCGCAGAAGCAGCGGCAGGAGAAGTGCGAAAAAATAGATTCTGCGGAGAAGAGTGGAGGGAAGCGGCGCGGAGCACAACACAGAGCAGCGCCGGCCGGGGGGGCTGGGCTGAGGAGCCGGCGGTCTTGGCAAGAAATCAAAGCGGGGCTGGCGGGGCTGGCAGGCAGGGCAGACGGGGCAGGCAGGCAGCGCCACACCTTGCAAGAGTCGCAATAAGACGGTGGCGCGGTGGGGTGGGGTGGGGTGGGGTGGGTGGGGCGGGGCGGGGCGGGGCGGGTCCAGCCAGCCGGGCGTCCGATGGATGATGAAATGGGCACGGGACACAGTCGGTACCGCCGGCGGCGGGGGCGGCGTCGGCAGAGGGGGAGGGGAGAGGAAAACCAAATGTTTGCGAGAAAGAGGCGGAACGAGCGTCCGATTCGGGCACTGGCACAAGCCCCCAGTCCACTCCAAAATAAAAGTTTTAGAATCCAACATTGACGTGGTAACGGGTAACGGTGGCGCGCTGCGTTCCGAAAGCAACCTCAACAGCCGTGCCTGGCGCGCTGTGAAAGGCAAGGCAGGCTCCAGGCTTCCCCGCGGCCTGGAGGCGGCGGCGGCGTCGGCGTCGGCGTCGGCGGCGCGTCCCCGAGGGTGCGTCACCCGCCGCCCGCGCGGGAAATCGGACCCGCTCCGGGATAACCGCCGCAGGGAAAGCGCAAAGCGCGCCAAGGCGGGGCGGGGCGGGGCGGGGCGGGGCGGGGCGGGGGGCGGGGCGGGGCGGGCGGGGCGGGGCGGGGCGGGGCGGGAGTGCCGCGCCATCAATCAAAGGTGGCCGAGCGGCCGCTTAGCATTCACACCGCGCCCCGGGGCAACCCTCCGTATATTGGCAAACACGGCCTGCTTCTTCTCCCCCGGGCCGGCCTAGGCTGGCCCCGGGTCACTGGGCCGCTGGGCGCCGGCAGGGCGCCGGCAGGGCCGGCTCGCCATCCTCATCACCGCCACCGGGCCCACTAATCCGCGCGATGAAGTAAACAGCCCCGACGGCCTGGCCCCCGGCCCGTCGGCGACCTGGAGGCGGCGGGGCGCAGCGCGGCGGAGCGGACCGGCCCGGTGAATATTCATGGCGCCCACTGCAGCCTGCAGCGCCCCAGAGGCGGCACGGCGCCACGGCCACGCACTGCTTGGCCTGGAAGAAAGAGGGGGCCGCCCTGGCCCGGCGCGACGACAGCGCGCTCAGAAGCTGGTTATTAATTGCAGCCCATGTCCACCCTCAGACACAATCTCGCCTCCCCGCCGCCGCCCCCTTCGCCGCGCTCCGCCGTGATAGTTTCGTTTGCTCGATTATCCCCACTTTGTTTGGCGAGTCGTTAGGGCGTGCGCCGCGACGCGCTGCGCTACGGTGCGCTGCCTACTGCCTTTCACGCCGTTTC